AACCATAAGAGACTTTTAATCTCAGGAGACAAACTGAGGGTTGCTGGAGTGGAGGGGGATGGGAGGGATGGAGTGGCTGGGTGAGGGACACTGGGGAGGGTATGTGCTATGGTGAGTGCCGTGAATTGTGTAAGACTGATGAATCACAGAGCTCTATGCCTGAAACAAATAATATAGTATATGTTAATAAAAAAAAAAAAGAGGAAGGGACTGTTATGGTGCTAAATGCTGTTGAGTCAAATGTAAGTACAAAGTGTTTTTCAGAGGTGCCTGGGTGGTGCAGTCGGTTAAGCATCCGACTCTTGGGTTCAGTTCTAGTCGTGATGTCAGGGTCGTGAGATGAAGCCCTGTGTTGGGCTCTGTGCTCAGTGGGGAGTCTGCTTTTCTCCCTCTCTCTCTCTCTCCCTTTTCTCCCCATCCTCCTTGGGTATAGTTTCACTTTTGCAAGATCTGAAAGAATTATGGAAATAGATGGTGGTGGCTTTATCACATTATGAATGTATTTCGTACACTGTACACCTGAAAATGGTTAAGATGGTAAATTTTGTTATGTGTATTTTACCACTCCTCCTCCTCCTCCTCACACACACACACACACACATACGGAAAAATTGATGGGGGGGGGGACCAGCTAGTGGCATGGGAAAGGTTGAAAATATGAGAGGGAGAAGATGGAGCAAGTCCTTAAGCAGCCACAGTAGAGGGAATTCAGTGCACTGGTAGAGAAATTTAGACAGTAGGCACTTCTCCCATTGTAACAGGATGGAGAGGGAAGGATAGGTGTGCTTGGGAAAGGTCTGGTGGCAGAAAGCTGAGGGGCTTTCCTTGTGTTGACTGTTTACTCTGAGTATGGAGATAATGGAGTTGAAGATTGAGGGGAGTCTTAAAAATGATCACTGGATAGAGTGGAAGAGTTCATCTGAAAGGACTGATGAGGGGGCACCTGGGTGGCTTAGTTAAGCGTCTGACTCTTGGTGTCAGCTCAGAGTTGTGAGTTCAAGCCCTGAATTGGACTCCATGTTGGATGTGAAGCCTATCTAAAGAAAAAGAAAGAACTAATGAACCAGGAGGCTAGAGGTACTGCAGCTGTTTCTGAAGTTGTTCCTCCCATGGGCATTAGAAACGAAATCAGATGAACGGAACAATATTTGTCCCTCTAACATAACCTTGTTTTAGAAATTAAACCAGTGCCAAACACTGGGACCTGTGCTGTTGTTAAATCTGTATTCAACTGGCATTAATTTATCAGGACATTTCTCATGTAAATTTAGAAGCTGTTGGTGTGAGAGGAATATAGACCAGAAGACAACACCTAGCACATTTGACCACACACCCGACCAGGGCTTTCTCATGTTCGTTCAAGTCTAAGCATGGGGATGTGTGCTCTCAGGGATAAGCTAACTTGAGACTACTTGGCTTTCCTCCAGTTGGAGAATTCCGAAAGTGGTGGAAGTATGTGGATAAAGATAGAACAGTTGTTAAGAATCAAGAAATGTGTACTGGTACTTGTAGGAGAGTTCCATTTAAACCCCTCCCCCTGCCTTAAGGGAGCAGACTGTAGCCCTGGGCTGCAGATCTGCATGATCAAAAGATCTGCCTGAGAGAGATGGCTACTGTGGAAATGAGAATGATCTCACCGGAGCAGCTGACACCCAAACCATGACCAATCTCAGACCACATCCAGTATTTTCCTCCACCTACTCCTATTCTCCATCTTACAACTAGAATTACTATGGAGCCCCTTGCTCGGATGAATACTCACACCAGAATGGTTTCTAAGTCAAGGCAGAAGCATCTAGCAACGGGGGGCTAGAGAAAAAGAGGGCATTAGGTATGAGTATGACAGATACCCTCCAAACAGATCTCCACCTGGCCTGACTTCCAACAAGGTGTTTGAAGTTATTCTGGGAAAACCCTGTCCCAGATGCAGGACTGGGAAAGTAGGGTCCTGGAGCCTCCTAGCATCAGCCCCTCTAGTTCCCTCACCTCCATTGTATCATTTTTAGAAGATGCTGCAATCTGATTCAATCAACAGGATAAAGAATAGTTATTCTCAAGCAGAAAAAGTCAAGTCAGGTAAAACTGCAGAGTTCCTAAGAACCTGACATTTGTGTCTAGGACCAAGAAAAACCTGAAGACCCCTGAAATCTACAAGATGTTGAAGAGGGGCCAAGTCCCTGCTTGTAGAGGTGACAGGCCTGAAATCATACATGCTGTGTATGAGACTCAACCCTGATGCCTCTGATCTGTTCTTTCCAAACCTTCCCTTTGGGCTTCTCCCCAGAATTATTTTGCACAGTGGATCTTTCCACAAATCCTTTCTGGAATAACAAGTAGGTATAAAAGCCCATCATTTTTCCTGTGATAACCGTCTAGTCCACTTCTTTTGTGCTTTCAGTACAACCTTGGCACTTGCTGTGTGATGGGACTACGCAGTCATCTTCAAACTGTTTTCTCAGATGCCTGCCTTTCCCAGCTCCAATATATCCTACAAACCTCTGCTAGACCCCCCCCAAAACCCCCACTAATTTCATGACTCCCTTTATGTGATTTAACAATCTTTGACTGTTCACTAATAAATCCAAACACTGTTAACAAGACTTTTCTCTGTCCACATGGCGAAGCTGCTCTCCTCACTGCCCTTCCCGTATGCTAGGTTTATCCTGGGGAAGCTATTTTAGTTTTAATATTACTTTCCACTGCCTACAGCACTCTCCTTGTCACTTTTCTCTCAGACGCAAACTCCACTCCTTTATGAAATCTCTAGCCTCAGAAATCCTTAATTTCTGAATACCGTTGACACTGAAGGAAACTGCCTTCATGTTAAATAATAAACAAGATGAAACAAAGGGAGAAGACCTGCTTCCAAGGCCTATTTGTATTTCTTTCCTAGGACTAGAAAAATAGAATGTAAGGACTTTGTCTTTACTGGCATCTACCTTCTTTCTGATTAGGTAGCCAGTGTTCTCTGGGTTTACCAGCAGGAAAAAAGGAATGTGAGGAGCACTCTGGCAACCAAGAGGGGTCCTTGGTCTATAGAGACATTGGAACTGTTCGTGCTGGAGCAATGGTAATTCTGACATGTAGTAGTAGGATCAGGTAATGACTAGCCTATGGGATCTTAAGTGTCTCGACTTAAGCATGATCACTAATTCCAGCAACCCAAAACATACTTTTTATACTCATTAATGGTATCCTAGTAACATGCATACTTCATAATTCATTTAACATCAATAAGAAATACATCAGCAATTGACTAGTTCTTATGCACACAGCCATTCAATGACACTCCAGAAAATCCCAATAAAAAATCCATTGTTTATGGATGAACATATCCAGAATCTTCCATTGGACCAAAAATCTCTTTTTCCAAGTGAGTTTCTCTGTTCTAGGACAGTTTATCATTCCATACATGAGAACTTACTAAAAAGAATAAAAGAAACTCTGGGGACTGAAGCTTACCAAGTACATTTTCAGCACATCAGTGGTATCTCAAAACAGCACATAGTCAGAGGCAGCTGTGGACCACTGAACTCTGGGAGCCACGCTCTGGCAAGGATAAATATGGATTGTGAAGAAATACGGACTGCAGTGATACTGGGGTGACACTGCACAGCCAGCATAACAGTGAGTCTTACCTTTTTAAAAGACACTCCTTTTGGGAGTCTCGCCCCAGGAAAATGCATCTAAATTCAAGATATGGCACATACTTCATAGACTCCATGAAACCCATCTAGTGAATTCTTAGAGTCCAAGCCCCCAGATGGAACCCTGTTGATCTAGACTTCTACCAGATACCTATTTACTCCTAGTATTGAGAAGTCTGAGGCCTATCCCTTCCCCTTTTCCTCCTTAGATTTAGGGCTATGCAGTGGGCTGGTTACAAATGTTGTGAGAGGAGGGGAGATGGAGGTACCGGGCAGCTTTGTGAGCAGTCAGTACTCCTTTAATTATTGCCTTTGATTTAGTTATTACAGGGTTGGTCCACAGCACTGCAAGGGGTGGGAGACAAAAATTTCTTCTCTTCTTAAAAGATTCCCAATGTGGGTCAGAGTTGGCCAGAAGCAGAGAACACTCAACAGTCAAATGCCCACTGGGGTGGCGGATTGGCGGTCTTTTGGTCTGTCTGCAGTATCTGTAATGTCAGATTAAGGAAACCACCTGGAGGCTGGTATTGGCACCTTCCCTTCCCAGGAAACAGATCTGGCCCTAAAACATGGAAACACTTGCAAGGATAATCTGGGATTGGAGCAGTTCTCATCATAGAAAATCCCTCTTCTAGGCCTGGGCCTAGACAAAGTAGCCATTCTGTATCAAGGTCAAAGAACTGGAGGGGACTTCTTGTGACTGGGGTCTCCGTTTCATCTCATCCTTGCTGTGTCATTCTGTGGGTACCATCAGCCTAGGCCACATCTGAGAAAGCGTCCATCACTAGTATTTGCTTGGACTATTCTGCAGAAAGATGCCCGGTAAGGAGGGAGCCAGTTCCTTGGCACTTACTCGGCCTTGCACAGGTGAATGACCACAGTCCTTCTAGTCCCTTATTGCACTCTTTGTATTCCAAGAACTGTGAACACAGATGTTTGGAATCACTTCATAACCAGGACAGCAAATAACTGAAATAATACCCCAGCTCTGACAAATCTTGCCTTCTGGGATCTGGAGACAAAGCAACTATTTGTGACTACTGCTGACCACTTCTGGAGCTGCCTTGAAGCTGGCCATAAGTGATCAGAAGCCGTAATTTTCACGGAAGATCCAAACCTTAGATCACCTTTTATTTGCTTGGGGCTCCTAAGGGGTCAAGGTGACAATAGAGATTATAAAAAAGATGCTGCAAGTGCCTGTGAGCCCAGGATGTGCGGCAAGCTCAGGCCACCACTAACTCTCCATGATGACTTGTGCACAGGCCTTGCTCAAGCACACGCAAGGGACCCACCAGGAATCATGTGCACCATACACAGATTGCACCTGCTGATGAGAACCAGGAGGTTGCTGCATACACTGAAAGTCTCAGGGTGGCACTTTGGTCCATGCTAAGCACATCCCTTCCTGGTGTGGGCATCAGGACAGAGGGAAATGACAACATTCAGATGAGCTCTACCACCCCAAATCCAGAGCACCAGCTCACAGGCCTCATGCCATACAACAAACATGATGGCTGGCTGATACATCTGTCCTACTTGGGGTCTGTGTGTCCCTCCTCACCTCTATTCTGCTTGAGGCTGTTCTGAACACTTCTGGCCAGAGAATAGGCAGGGGCTGCCACAAGGATCTCGAGCAGTGATTAGCCACAGCATCTAGATGGGGGAAAAGGTGGCCAAAAAGAAGATGGAATTTCCAAAAAGTAAATTTCTCTGTATTCACGCCTAATCTTCAGAAGTTGTGTAAACAATTTTTTTCTACCTTCCTCCATCATTTGCACAATTTTTGTCGAGTCCAAACGTAATTTATAATGAGGTAGGTAGTTTCTTCTCCTCTGCTTTTGTCTTTGTGGTGACTGTCGAGGCCTGTGCCGTGAAAGCACTGGTCTCCCATGCAGGCGGAGTGTCAGGGTGGGCACTGGTGACTGGTAGAGCGTCTCAGTTGGCTATTTTCTCAATCTCATCCAAATCATCCGTGTCCAGTCTTTCTATTTTCTTATCTGAGGAGGAAAATGAGAAATCAGTACGGGTCTACCATGGAGACACACACCTAGGAAAGGGACAGCACAGCAGGGAGAGAGGAAACACAGCATTCTGCCCGGCCAGGAACAGGACCATACCTCTGGCCACAGCAGTCTTGCACTTGACCTCAAAGACTCCCGGTGCCCGAGTGAGGGACAGAGAGAGCCCTAGGTCCCTCACCCTGGCCAGGGGGGCACTGTCCTTTGCATCCCTGACCCTGAAAACTTACCAGGTGTGCTCTTCGAGAACTTCCATATTGTAGGAAAGGAGGGGACTGTGTGACAAGGACACAGGCCTCTCTCGGGGCCACGGGAGAACCGACCCTTCGTCCCTCCCTGGGGGCCATTCCCCGGTGCTCACTAAAATGCTCCTGGATTCTGTTGAGGATGTTCATGCTGTGCTTGCTGTCAACCATGTTCACTGCCAGGCCCCTCTTGCCAAAGCGGCCCGTGCGCCCGATCCGGTGCAGGTAGGTCTCGTTGTCCGGGTTCCCGTCCTTGTCCACGGGGAGGTCAAAGTTGATGACGACAGAAACCTGTTCGACGTCAATACCTGCATGAAAGGCAGGTGCAGAGGAGTCAGGACGGGAGCCGAAAATCACTGCCAACCAGGTGAGGCCGACACACACCAGCTTCGGGTGGAAGGAAGAGTCTGGGGCAGGCCGGCTCTGGGATTCGGGGACCGGGGGCATGCAGCAGAATCGAGGGAGAGACAGAACTTCGGCAAGTGCTGACAAAATTATGACCTCAAGAAGAGAGCCGCTGCTAGACACAAGTATCAGAAAACGCAGCTGAAACCTCTGTGGGGGCCCCAAAGAGAGCAGACACCGTCCTGGGCCAGTGAGCTGCTGCTCCATGTCCTTCCAGCACATTAGCGCCTCTGGCTTCCGTGACATTCTCATGTGCCAGGGAAGCCCAGTCTCTCCAGGAGAGAACCAAGCCCACGTGGACACCCCCAAACTGGCGGAGCGCCCCGTACAGGACTCCCTGGCTACCCGGGGCCTGGCGGACAGACACATTCTCTGCTCACCGCGGGCACACACGTTGGTGGTCACCAGCACCTTCTCTTTGCCCTCTCGGAAGCGCTCGATCACCGCAGCCCTCTGCTCCACCATCATTTCGCCACTCAGCAGCGCCACCTGGTGGCCTTCTTTGGAGAGCTCTGCTGCCAGCCAGCTCGCTGTTTTGCGGGTCTGGAGAGAACAGAATTGTTTTAAATGAAGAGACTTCTAAAGAAAAAGATAACAGCAAAAAAGTGGCTTGTTGCCATTAAAAGTACATGAAGACCTGCTGAGTTCAGTCATCAGGATAGGCTTACCAATTTCAAAAATACTTCTAGCCCTGTCATTTTTTTTTAGATGAATTACTTAAATCATCTTAGTGTTCCGCTAGGAAGAGTGTGGTGTGAGCCAAAAGTCTTCATTCCCAAACAGTCTATATTCTTAATGTTTTATATAATTATTTCATTGAATGTTATTTGGAGTTTTTTCCAAGTTATCTCTAAGAAGTGGGACCAAAGAAGGTTTAAATCTTCACAGTCTTTCCCTCATAACTCTTTAAGTCTGAGAATACTCCCTGGGGCAGGTGGAGGTGATTCATCATTTCCTTTCTGGCCACACGGGGCAGCTGGCCCGCCTCAGCACTGAGGTGGCGCTGGCTGACAGGAGGGGCAGGCACACCCTCCAGGATAGCTGCTGCCACTGCTACTCACATGGCAGAAGATCATGGCCTGAGCGATGGTGATGGCCCCATACAGGTTACACAAGGCCTGGAACTTCTCATCTCTGTTATTGCACAGCACGTAATACTGCTTGATGGTGTCCAGTGTCTCCTCCTCGCGCTTCAACTTGATAATGTTTGGGTCGGGGACCACTTTCTGGGCAAACTTCCAGACAGAGTCTTCGAAGGTGGCAGAGAAAAGCAGCATCTGGCAGTTCCTGGGCAGCATCCTGCAAGGGAAGACCCAGGTATGGGGCATGATCCCGAGTCTTTTCTGGAACGAACAGAAGACAGCGGCCTGGGGCTCGCATGGGCTACGTGCCCAGGAAAACAGCAAAAGCGGGAGGAGAACAGCAGGGAAGAGGCGAGAGCAGCCACGGGGCAGGAATGGGGCTGGGGTTAGATTCCCTAAGTCTCCTTCCTCAACCCCAGGTCAGTGCTGATGAGGAAGTGGCCCATCAAGCAGATGCTTCTGGAGGTACTAGATAAAGAACCTGACAGGAGCAGGAAGAGGTGTTTGAAGTAAAAGGAGAAGATGCTGCAGATCAGAAGGCTGAGAAGTTCCTCTTGACTCAAGAGTTCCTACCTCTGGATGCGGATGCTCTGATCTTGGTGGCCCTGAGTAGCTATCATCACGTCGGCCTCATCCAGAACAAACACCTTGATCTTCTTGGGGTCAATGAACTTGAGCTTGGCGCACCAGTCCAGAACAGTCCCAGGGGTGCCAATGACAATGTGCTCACTGATCTTCTGACCTCTTTCCACTGTGGAGACAAGATGTTTTCTGTGGGTATTTTCCATGGTAAAGCCAGCTTTCCTCTCTGAGAAAATCTAAAGCTATGCTGTACTTTAATGTCAACTGTTTTGATGTTTGCATTAATACCTTAAAGTAGGGTTATAATATCACCATAGCATTTAATAATGCTGAAAAGACATAGGATAGAAACAGTGACAAGATGAAAGCCTCTTCAGTAGTGTTCTTGTCCGTTCTCTGTAGTCATCCAGTTCTCTTTCGAGGAGGATCTGTTGTTATCTTTATTTCTTCTCTGTCAGCATCATTCCCCCAGCCCAGGGTTGCACTTCTCACAAGCAGACTTTCACCGCTCTCTCCAGTGCACTCTGCCAGCCCTCAGCTATCCTGGCACCTACATCCAACAAGCCAGTTGCCTTTACACACCCTTGCCCAGGTCAGAAAATAGGATTCATCATGAATGGCTTTGCTTTCTCAAAGAAGCACAAAGTGCCTCTCTTAGGTAAAGTGCTTCCCCATACAAGGCCCAGCGGACCATGGCACATTCTTGACTCTCTGTGGTTTGAAACTGAGATTTGCCTCTTCGTTTTGAATTAGATGGCACTTATATATTGAATTTAAGTCTCTTAATTACAACCATGACCTGACATACACAATCTCCCTCTTAATCACTGCCAAAATTTTGCCCAAATGTGAATGTTGAGTCAATTCAAAGCTAATAAATGTTGCTTCTTTCTTAAACCAATTACTGCCTCCCACAAAAGTTATTCAGACTCTGGCATTATAACTTCAACCCGGTTTACAGCCAATTTACATAATAAATGTATGATCATCTTCCACTAAGTTTTATAATTGTATTAATTTTAGAAGCAACTTCAAGTTGGTATTAGTTGGTATTGTACGCTGAGTGGATTTGTGAGTCATAGTTAACACATGTTAAAGATTCACAGCCAAACTTTCAACAGTTTTTATATTACTTAAATATTGTTAATTTGTTGCAAAACAAAAGTGCAAAGATGAATAAAGAAAAAATAATAAAAATAAGCTCCAAACAAAAAACAGACTCTTAAATACAGAGAACAGATTTGCCATAGGGGAGGTAGGTGGGGAGGTGAGTGAAATAGATAAGGGGGATTATCCTTTATATTTATACACTTATTTTGATGAGAACTGAGAAAAATACAGACTTGATCTATCATTATATTATATAGCTGAAACTAATAAAACACTGTTAATTATAATTCAATTAAAAAATTAAATGCCAGAGTTAATTGTCATGAATATTCAAGAACATTTTTGTTCTTCTAATGACATTAAAAAGAAATTGGGCAATTAAAACCAGAATGTGCAGTATTTTATAAGCAACTGGTATGGACCATTCAAAAAGTCAGAAGTAGGGGGGAGGAGAAGGTGGAGGGACTATTCTAGATTTAAAGAAACATAAGAGATACAACACCAAATGCAGTGCATTCACACCAATTTGATCTTGGTTCAAAAACAAAACAGCCATAAAGACCATGGGACTTTTGGGACTATTAGGGAAAAATAAAAATGGAGTAGATACTAGTTATTAGAGAATCTCCTAATTTTCTTGGTTGTGATAAGGGTTTTGTGGATATGCTGAAGAATGTACTTATTGTGGGGCGCCTTGGTGGCTCAGTGGGTTAAAGCTTCTGCCTTGGCTCAAGTCATGATCCCAGAGTCTTGGGATCGAGCCCCACATCGGGATCTCTGCTCGGCAGGGAGCCTGCTTCCTCCTCTCTCTCTGCCTACTTGTGATCTCTGTCAAATAAATAAATAAAATCTTAAAAAAAAAAAAAAATGTCCTTACTGTGAGATGCATCCTAAAGTATTTATTAACAAATTTTTTAAAAAAGATTTCCTTAAGGGACACCTCAGTGGCTCAGTCGGTTAAGCATCTGCCCTCAGCTCAGGTCATGATCCCAGGGCCCCAGAATCAAGTCCCACATGGGGCTCCTTGCTCTGCAGGGAGCCTCATTCTCCCTCTGCCTGCCATTCCCTCTGCTTGTGCTCAGTCTCTCGGACAAATAAATGAATGGAATCCTTAAAAAAAAAAAAAGATTAAAAAAAAATTGTTTAAGTAGGCTCCACTCCATTTGTGGAACCCAGTGTGGGACTTGAACTCACAACCCTGAGATCAAGACCTGAGCTGAAATCAAGAGTCCTATGCTTAACCAACTGGCAGCCATCCAGATGCCCCAAGATTTTATTTCTAAGTAATCTCTACACCCAATGTGGGGCTCAGACTCAAAACCCTGAAGTCAAGAATTGCATGCTTTCCTGACTGAGCCAGCCAGGTGCCTGCATGCATAAGTATTTAGGAGTAAATACCACAATGTCTGCAATTTACTCTCAAATGGTTCCCCCAGAACATGCACACATAAAGCAAATTTAGCAAAATGTTAAGTTTTCAAGTCTAAGTGAAATGTTAATTTTTATTATTTCAACTACTGCGTATGTTTTGAAATTTTTAAAAATAGAAGTTGTGGGCACCTGGGTGGCTCAGTCATTAAGCGTCTGCCTTCGGGTCAGGTCATGATTCTAGAGTCCTGGGATTGAGGCCCATATCGGGCTCCCTGCTTGGCGAGAAGCCTGCTTCTCCCTCTCCCACTCCCCCTGCTTGTGTTCCCTCTCTCACTGTGTCTCTCTCTCTGTCAAATAAATAAATAAAGTCTTAAAAAAAAAAAAAGAAATAGAAGTTGTTAGCTTAATGAATTAGGATCACATATTCATACTCACATTTATTGCCTCGGACAGCATAAGCTAGCTTCAGTTCAGGGTAAAATTTGCCCATCTGCTCAATCACTTTTCCTGTTTGGAGGGCGAGCTCGTAAGTTGGGGAGAGGCACAGACACTGGCAAGGAGAGAGTGCAGAATGAGATCTCAAGGGCAGTGGGGAATCACCATCAGGACTTACTCCTCCAGCTGAAGCTGAAGAAGAACATTAAAGTGCACGCCATTTGATTCTTTATGCTGCAAAGTCACAGGGTTAGAACTCTGGTTGGGTAAATACATTTGAAAATAGCTATTGGCCACAGGAATACAAAACCCACATGTGAACAAGGATCTGAAATCCCAGGTGGAAATTAGCTTCCTTTTGACTTACTCAGGAAGTTCTCAGAACTTTCCAGAGGATGATAGCTGTAGATAGAAGAGGTTTTTCCTGAAAGTAAAGGTGCCAAGCCTATCAGCAGTATCTCAGAACTGGCAAATCGTGGAAAGGGAACAGGATGCATGTTGCTACCAGAAGGTCAACCATATTGTTTGTGCTCGACAAGGGGTTCCGGTTTATGTAAAAAGAAATATGCATTTTGGCTTTCAATCCATCACATGTAATTTCTAGCTACACATCAACAGAAAATCCAAATTCACCAAGCCCTTACCTGGGGGTATCTGTTTGCAGGTTCTACTTGGCTGAGCATGGCCAAGACAAAGGCAGCTGTTTTACCAGTACCAGACTGAGACTGGGCAATTAAGTTCTGTGGGCTGCACAAGAAAACATTGTTTAGGGGCTTAAATCTCAAGTATCCTTTTAGTTAGTAACAGTGAAGAATAAATGAGTTTATGGAAGGAGGCTTTGACTGCTGCAGTAGATAACACATGCTAGTCCCACAAACACCAGGCACCACAGAGAGAAGACTAGTGGAATTTAAAGCACTCCCTATCTCTTATTCTTGACAGGGCAGCCAGTGATTCTTTTAAAATGTGAGTCAGCTCATGTCACTGCTCTGCTCAAAAGCCTTCCAGTCACTCCCCATTTCATTCAGAGTAAAAGTGCAAATCCTTCTGCATTACAAGGTCCTACCTGATCTGGCTCCCTAATGGTTCTCTGTTTTCAGCTCCTACCATGGCCTCCCTTACTCATCCCACTACAGAAGCCTTGGGGCTGCCCCAAAAGCAAGCCAGCCATGCCCCTGTCCCAGGGTTTCTGTCCTCTGTTGGGACAGCTGTCCCCAGATGACATGTCAACTCTCTCCTCTCCTTCAAGGCTTTGCTCACACATCACCTACTTGATGAGATCATACCCTAAGCACTTGATTAAAATTGTAGCCTATTTTGAAATGCCTTAAAAATTATGTATTGGTAGATAGATATGTGATAAAGTTTAGTAAAATGTTAGTGACTGCATCTAGATGGGGGACATATGGGTGTTCACTATAAAATCCTTTCAACTTTAGGGCACCTGAATAGCTCAGTTAGTTAACTGTCCAGCTCTTGATTTCGGCACAGGTCATGATCTCAGGGTCATGAGATCTAGCCCTTTGTGGGGCTCTGTGCTGGGCATGGAGCCTGCTAAGATTCTCTCTCTCCCTCTCCCTCTGCTCCTCCATACCCCACTTGTGTGCTCTCTCTCTCAAAAAAAAAAAAAAAAAAAAAAAAAATCCTTTCAACTTTTTTTTTTTTTTTTTTTTTTTTTACAATTTTCATAATATAATGTTGTGGGAAAACTGCAATCAGTTCCCTTGGTATTCCTGATCTCCCTTATTATGGTTTCTTTTTCTTATTCGTATTTATCATCTTTTTTTTTTTTTTAAAGATTATTTATTTATTTATTTATTTGACAGAGAGAGATCACAACTAGACAGAGAGGCAGGCAGAGAGAGAGAGAGAAGCAGGCTCCCTGCTGAGCAGAGAGCCCGATGTGGGACTCGATCCCAGGACCCTGAGATCATGACCCGAGCCGAAGGCAGCGGCCTAACCCACTGAGCCACCCAGGCGCCCATCATCTTTTTTTTTTTAATCACCTTTTTAAAAAACAAAAAAAAAAGGATTTTTTTTTTTTTTAAAGATTTGATTTATTTATTTGACAGAGATCACAGGTAGGCAGAGAGGCAGGCAGAGAGAGAGAGAGAGGAGGAAGCAGGCTCTCCACTGAGCAGAGAGCCCGATACGGGGCTCGATCCCAGGTAATTGAGATCATGACCTGAGCTGAAGGCAGAGGCTTTAACCCATTGAGCCACCCAGGCGCCCCCCAAAAAAGGATTTTATCTATTCATTTAACCCACAGAGAGAGAGCACAAGCTGGGGGAGCCCTTGATGTAGGGCTTGATCTCAGGACCCTGGGATCATGACCTGAGCTAAAGGCAGAAGCTTAACTGATTGAGCCACCCAGATCCCCCAGTATTTATCACCTTTTTTAAAAACAGCTTTTAAGTGTATAATTCAGTGGCATTAATTACATTTATAACTTATCTAACAAACTATACACTATATATATATATTTTTTTTAATTTATTGATTTGACAGAGAGAGGTCACAAGTAGACAGAGAGGCAGGCAGAGAGAGAGAGAGGGAAGCAGGGTCCCCGCTGAGCAGAGAGCCTGATGCGGGACTTGATCCCAGAACCCTGAGATCATGACCTGAGCCGAAGGCAGCGGCTTAACCCACTGAGCCACCCAGGCGCCCCTATATCTTATTTTTAATAAAAATAAATGATCTATACTCCAGACCACGTTCCTTAAAGACAGCAATTTTGGTCTGTTTTGTTTTCTAATGTAACCAAGTGCCTAGAATAGTATCTGTTACACACCTGCACTCAATACATATTTGTTAATGAAGAAAGGTACTAGATAATTCTCTCAGGTCTCTTCTAACATTGATGATTTAAAAATTGAACATACTTAGAGATGCATAAATGGAGTATTTGTTTCACACTGGTCATTCGTTTTTTATAGATCTCAGTGCTTTCATAGATGTTCAAAATGTCAAGTTAAAAAGAGATATTCGGGGCGCCTGGGTGGGCAGGGGGTTAAGCCTCTGCCTTCGGCTCAGGTCATGATCTCGGGGTCCTGGGATTGAGTCCCGCATAGGGCGCTCTCTCCTCTCTCTCTGCCTGCCTCTCTGCCTACGTGTGATTTCTCTCTGTCAAATAAATAAAATCTTAAAAAAAAAAAAAAAAAAAAAAAGACATTATTCATCATGAAAAAAGTCACTAATCGCTTCTCAGGCTTCTGGCTAAGATCAAGTGAAAAAAGTCACTGTTTTGACACAGAACAAAGAAAACTTTAATATAGACCTAAAATTTCTATTTTTAGACTCCATGAAAGGAGTTTCAGGATTTAGGATCAGATGCAGTACAACTTTCCATAATTATATATAATGTAGGGATCAGTTTTTATAAAAAGCTCCACATGCTCTTGAATCTTGTTGCTCAAAATGTGGTCTGAAACTAGTAGCATCAGTGTCACTTAGAAGCTTCTAGGAAATAGTGAACCTCAGATGGACTGAAATGAGGATCTGCATTTTAATAAATTCCTAAGAGATTCATGTGCCTATGAAAGTATGAAAAGCACTGCCCTACAAAACAACCTTGGTAATTACCCTATTCTGATCTCCCAGAACCCTGTTTGGTTTTTGCATACTGTTTCTGACACAATAAATTCTATCTATCCATCTAATGAAAGCAAGGTGTGTATGAATGATAAATGTTTATTTACCAACATAGGATGATCATCTCACTAAGTTTTTTAAAAAGCATGTAAGATTTTATATGGTTCTGTTTTTTAAAAAAGGTATAAATATGTGAGTTTATTTTTAAAAAGTCCAGAAGTCTCTAAATGTTAGTATAGTAGGTTGGGGAAGATTACAAACAATTTTTCTTATTTTTAAATCATTTTCTAACTTTTCTAAAATAAACGTGTTCCTAGTATAGATTTTTAAAATAATAGAAATTTTAAAAAACGGAAAATTAAAAATGGGATAGAGTTCTATCAGGACACATACGGCTCAGCAAGCATCAAAGGCAGTGCGTTCTCTTGTATCTTGGATGGACGGTTGAAGCCCATGGCATAGACTCCCTGGAGAAGTTGTGGTTTCCTGGGAAAACAGTTAAAGATGAAAGTCACCATCTCTTTGGTTGAGGAAAGAAGCCAAATATCCGAGGGATTTTTTTGTTCTCTTTCTTACTATTGTTACACACAGTTTATTTACAATTAATAATACTTGAACTGTGCCCTTTGCACAATTCACATTAGCTAGAAATTTTACTTAATAGCCCAAAGCAGCTAAATTCTTTGATTAAATTTGTCTTGGCTGGCAGCAGCTCTTTCTGCCCATGGATCCTGTCGTCCTCCTTCAATAAAATCACTTTTTATACCAATAAATAAGTAAAGTAAAAAAATAAACTTGTATTAGCTAAAAATGTTCTGCTGTGATTAAAAAAAAGTGTGTGTATGTGTGTGTACTAACAATATTAGTCTGTATCTAATACAAAGGGGAGAGTCAGAAAGGAAACACTCACAGCCGAAGCTCCTCAAAGGACTTCACAGAGTAGAGCGGGGAGTTTGGGTCCCGCTGCAGGACTTCCACCTGGTTTGTGGTATCCACCAGATTGCTTCGGATCAACTTGTTGAGTAAGGACTGGGCAGCTCTGTCCTCTGTCAGGAAAAAGAGAGGAAAGAATTTTTTTTTTTTTTTTAAAGCAAAGAATTTTAAAAGGCCATGAAATCCACCATGAGCTCATCTGAATTCACTTTTCATTGGCATTTTAAGCACTTACATGTATGTATGCTAGAACTTATAATTCAGGATATATCATAGTTTTGACTTATAAATAGAATTAAAATTGCTTTTTAAAGAAAAAGGTTTTGATACTGATGTCATACATTTGGGCCTCATATTCTTCTCCAGGACTCTCTTCCAAGCCCTCCTTTCTGGAGGTTATCTATTCTTCCTATGTAAACCCAAGTATTGACTCCCTCCTTTGTGCTCAATAGAACATTGAAAATTATTAGCTTGGCCAACACATCTCAACAATGAAAAAAAAAAACAAAACACCCCAGAAATTAACAAAGTTTGTATCTTGATATCATATAAGTTGTATAATGTGTTCAAGTAGCATTAACTTTAGTAGACAATGGTGATTCAACTTAAAATTTCTTTTATAATGCCCTGTAAAAGATCATCATTCAGGGCTTATCTGCTGCTGCTGCTGCTGCTGAAGTCCATCAGTTCAAAGTAAAATTTCTTTAAAATGTAACCACTGAGAATTCCTTCACCAGCAACCATGTTGAGTGTTTGTTAGCAATATGACTCCCTTTAAAGTCAAGCCAAGTTGGGTCTAAAAATGAAGCCTGGTAACAATCTATTGACTTAAGATGGTGGGATCTCATGGGTATAGCTCTAGGCTGTTACCTTTCTCTTCTTCATCTGCCTTCTCTGCATTAGCATTGGTCTTGACAACAGCACCTTTATCAGACACAAAGTGGCCATCATTCAATATCACATACTATACCCAACAGCGGAGACAATTCAAATTCTATGAGACACTAGAAATGTAAAAGGCCTGGGGAGCAGAACAATAAATGAGGAAACCAAGCCACAGATAAAACCATTTTATTGTTCTTAAATAAACAAAGGTATGAAACAGTGTTGCTTATAGTTCAGTTCTTCCCTATTCCGAGTCCTCTCACGGTACATCAAACACTAATGGGACTTTCCCTCATAGCATCAGTATTTCTGAAATGTTATAGAAAGATAATCACAGCAGGCAATGATTACAAACCACCTTGATGCTCAACAGAGGAATATCTGTGCAAACCGTATTTCATCAGTGTATGAACACTATAATGCCATTAAGATTCTATGTATATAAATTGTTTAATAGAAATGTATATTCAAACATTGTAGGTATGAAAAAATTACAGAAAAAGATTGTAAATGAATTTGGAGTGAGGTAAGTGTTACTACCCCCCACCCACTATATGTACATCAATGAAAATTTAATGGAAATCTTGGATTTGGGTAGATAACGATTTCAGAATGACAATAGGTTAACTCTCAGGTTGTTCATACTTTGTATATTCTCATGGTCAGCAAGAAGTTTGGTAATAAATAAGTCAGTTAGGCATCCTATGCTTATTTTAAGCACAATTCAAAGCAAAACAATCCAGTTTAGTTCCTAAATCAAATGACTGCCAGTATCTGCCAGCCCCCTACTTGTACATATACAATTTTTTTTTCCAGACAGTTATGTCAAAGCAGAAATACTAAAGGAAATCACATTTGTTTTCAAACTAGCTTTTACTCACCATTGGCATCTGGTTTGATTTTCTCTTCCTTAAGATGCAAGTTGCTCAACTAAATGGAGAATATGGGGGGAGGGGGGAAAGTGTCAGGAAAATCACTTAAAAGATTTTGTACCAACAGAGCCTCCCCAGTGAAGCTGGGGAGAAATGAGCCACTCTCAAGCTCTATTCATTAAGTTGTTCTGCCGGGCTCCTTTAGTTGACTAAATGTTTGAGTGAAAATAAACAAAATTTCCCATAAACACAGCAGTAGAAAAAAAATGGTTACACAAATGACTCAAAATCCACACTTCCTAATTACAGTCCCTAGAGAAAATTATAGTTTATGAGTTTGCTTAATGCCCTGATTACAACAACTCTCTCAGTAGAATACCATTTGTCATTCTCTCATATTCCAAACGACAGGAAAATTTAAAAGATACTGGAAAATGCAGTCACACTTCAGACAGAGAACTTCAAGGTGGGAGGGCTGCAACAAAAACCGTGTGTGGGTGGGAGTCCACTCCCTTGCACGGTAGGTTTGAGTTGCAGGACCACAATGTGCAGATACACACCCTCATATTCAGGTTGCCTTGTTTTTTGCCTTGTGGTGGAAGTCTAATATTTTAAACTGAGAGCAGTCTGGGGCATCGTGGCACACTGTGTCATCAAAATACCTAGCTGAAGTGGGAATACAAAGGAAGGGACAGAGCAAAGAAACATTTCAAAGAATTATTAGGACTTTGATTAAACACCATAAATTAGGCATATTGTGATGGGACTTATCTCTATTAGAATGAAAATATCCTTTTATTTGTCATTTATACCTCATAAATGCTGGGGGTGGGGGAGAAAATACCTTAAAGACAGGAATATTTTTATTTAATTGATCTTTGGATCTAGCACAAAGCAGGTGCTCTAATCATAAAATATTAAGTGGAGCTTAGGACCTCATCTAGTAATGGGTAACAATGAAAATAGCTATTTCTTAAAGCACCACCTCACTGGTGGTTTATGTTTTCAGGTTCATTCTGTCTTTCCTCTTAAGTCCGGGAAAGGCAAGAGAGGAATGAAACAAATGTCTGTTTCTTTGTTTTTTTTTAACAATTTTATTTATTTGACAGAGATCACAAATAGGCAGAGAGGCAGGCAGAGAGAGAGGAAAGGAAGTAGACTTCCTGTTTCGCAGGGAGCCCGATGCGGGGCTCGATCTCAGGACCCTGGGATCATGACCTGAGCCGAAGGCAGAGGCTTTAACCCACTGAGCCACCCAGGCGCCCCACAAATGTCTGTTTTAATAGGTGGTTAGTTAGAGTTGGAGGAACTATACTTCTTTTGTTGCCAACTGAAAAGGGAGTTTCTGGTGTGTCTGCTTTGGTGTTAGGGGGAGGGAGAAGTAGGGGGGAACATACTGGAGAGACTGGCAAGAAAGGAAATTGGCAAAAAAGGAAATCATTGGGACACCTGGGTGGCTCAGTGGTTTAAAACATCTGCCTTCAGCTCAGGTCATGATCCCAGAGTCCTGGGATCAAGCCCCGCATTGGGCTCTCTGCTCAGCAGGGAGTCTGCTTCCCTTCCTCTCTCTCTGCCTGATTGTGATCTCTATCTGTGAAATAAATAAATAAAATCTTAAAAAAAAAAAAAAAGGAAATCATCAGAAAACAGTAAAAATCCTTCCATAATTCCAAATGATAGCAAACACACTAACAGATAATGAATACGAAGGGACCAGCACAGTGCCTGATACACAGCAGGTGTTCAATATATTTTAATCTTCTCTAAAGCACTTCTCCATATCCTGCTGACAAACCCTGTTTTAAGTATAGTATCCACATCTATTGAGAGGGAGAGGGAGAGAGATTGCAAGGCAGGGACAGACAGCAAGTCTAGACAGACTGCCTGACTTACTGGCAATACTTGCAACAGTAAACTTAATAGTACTTACTCCTAGGGTGAAAATTGCTAGCTAAAGCAAATGACAGGGCTGAGGTATAAATGAGTTAATGAAGTATAAATGAGTTACAAACATCTATTATAAAAAATTTTAATAATGATAAAAAGGACAAAGCATTGTTTTGTTGATACATTGTTCAAACTGAAGTTAACAGTAAATAAAGTAACAGTTAAAGTAACTAAATGCAATATGTAGTAAAGTTGGTAGCAACAATGTAAATGAAACCAGTAGATGTTTTGATTACAACATATCAGGATTCTGGAGAAGGTCCAGCGAATCTAGAAACAAACTCCTCCCTTGGCTATAAGGACCTTAAAGCCTATAAAGCAGAGACCATGACATCTGTATTACCCAGTGCAGTGTCAGTGAACTGAACTCTGAAACTTCTATTGAAAGTACAGTTAGATACCTTCTTTGCTCTGTTTACTTGGACCAAAAAGGAGAAACCAGTTTCTTTTGCAACTTCATCAGAAACCATTTTGAAGGGGCGCCTGGGTGGCTCAGTGGGTTAAGCCTCTGCCTTCGGCTCAGGTCATGATCCCAGTGTCCTGGGATCGAGCCCCGCATCGGGCTCCCGGCTCCGCAGGGAGCCTGCTTCCTCCTCTCTCTCTCTGCCTGCCTCTCTGCCTACTTGTCATCTCTCTCTGTCAAATAAATAAATAAACCTTAAAAAAAAAAAAAAAACCATTTTGAAATTAACAGAAAGGCAAAAAAGCAAAAACATCCACTTTGTAATACCCACATTTTCAATGCCTTTAATATTTTAGTTTTTAAGATATGTTAAAATAATTGAAAACTCTACAGTTACACACTACATTTTATTCAAAAGCTACTTGAGAAAGCATTCTTGAGACATAAAAGACTTAATAGTGAACTATAGAGAACAGGGATTATCTCTGCCAGAATGGTGAAGTAGAGGACATAGAGTCATACTCATCAGTTTTCTTATCTGTTTGCCCTCCTCTAAAGAGAAATTTCCCAATGGAACAGAGGGGGAACAAAGACAGGAGCCACTGGGGGATGAAGAAATAAATATAAATAGAATCTAGTATTTTCTTACCTACAATAAATAAGGAATGAAGCTTAATATTTAAGATACAGTAACTATGTACTACACACATCAGTGTTACCTATGTCACGCAGTGTCCTCAGTGAGAGTTCCATGAGGCAGAGGGTAATAGAGGCGTCTTTACTCATTTGCTCAGTTTTGGAATATTGTGATCTAATTTACCTGTGCATGGTTAAGTAGATTCACAAGTCTTATCCAGGTTCAACTATCTAATCCATACAATATGGACAAGTAATTTAAAAGATTCCTGCAGGGCACCTGGATGGCTCAGTTAGTTAAGCATCTGCCTTTGGCTTAGGTCATGATCCCAGGGTCCTGGGATCCATCCCTATGTTGGGCTCCCTGCTCATCAGGAAGCCTGCTTCTCCCCCTCTCCCCCTTCCTCTCTTGCTATCACTCACTCAAATAAATAAAATCTTAAAAAAAAAAAAAGATTCCTGCATTGGAACTGTGATTTATACATAATAACAACAACTGCTATTACTTACATAGCACATATAACAGGCATGTCCATAACTCAGTGAGGTAGGTATTATGATTATCTCCATTTTACAGATGTGGAAACCAAGGCACATAAAGATTAAACAATTTTCCCAAAGCCATAGAACTAGTAAACCATGGACCTACAATACAAATCCTAGACTGTCTGGCTATAAAGGCTAAGGTTTTAACCTCTACACAACAGTGTCTGTCATAGATAATACTAATCTCATAGAAAGCAATTATTTTAAGGGTGGTACAATGGTGCAGCCACTCTGGAAAAGTCTGACAGTTCCTCAAAAGTTAAACGTAGAGTTACATAATCCAGTAATGCCACTTGTGGGCGTATACCCAAGAGATTTGAAAATAAAGGTCCATACAAAAACTTGTACATGAATAATCATGGCAACATTATTCATAATAACCAAAAAGTAGAAACAATCGAAATGCTCATCAATGGACGCTGATAAGCGGAGAAATAAAATGTGATATATCTAGACAATGGAATATTATTTGGCAATAAAAAGGAATGACACCTACTGCAACATGGACGAACTTTGAAAACATTATGCTACGTGAAAGCAGCCAGACACAACAGACCACATATTGTATGATTCAACTTAAATAAAATATCCAGAATAGGCAAATCTCAAGAGACAGAAAACAAATCATCAGTTGCCAGAGAAGGCGGGGGAGAAGGGAGTGAATGCAAAAGTTTGAGGGAACTTTGGGCAGTGGTGGAAATGTTTCGTATCTTGACTGCGGTGATGGTTACACAACTGAATGCCTTTGTCAAAATTCACAGAACAAGGTGAGTTTTATTACTTTATTTATTTATTGTTTACAAGGTGAGTTTTAATATATGTAAATTTTACCTCAACAAACTTGACTTAATAATTGGGCCACTCTGAGATATCCAACAGTCAACTAGTAAGAATTCTTGAAAGAGCAAAAAAAAAAAACAAAGGGGGAGAAATAAAAAATGAAAATTTTCAAGAAAATTTCTCATAACTCAAGGATAAGAATTTTCCAGATTGAAAGGACCCACCCAGGGGCACCAGGATGGCTCAGTTGGAAGAGCATGCAACTCTCGATCTTGGGAGTGTGTGTTCAAGCCCCACACTGGGTGTAGAGATTACTTAAAAGTAAAATCTTAAAAAAAAAAAAAAAAAAGATATACCCAGTGTCCAGCAAAATGGATGAAAACAGACCCATACCAGTTATCAGGAATGTTCTGTATACTGGAAGCAAACAGAAGATTGTTCAAGTTTACAAAGGGAAAAACAGGTCACATCAGGAATCAGAATGGTCTCAGACATCTCAGTAACCAATAAAGAAGTCTAAAAGGCAATGAAACAATGCCTTTAAAAATTATTAGGAAATTAATTTCCAACCTACAGCTCCACACCCAGCTATAATGCTATCCAAGTGACAGGGCAAGATAAGGTATTTCCAGAAATGCAACAGTATCTAAAACAAACAAAACAAAACAAAACAACGACAATACTTCTGATACACTTCCAGAAAGCTGATGGATGGTTTCACCAAATCAATAAAGATGAAGAGAGGGGATCCAACACAAGAGAAGAGTGAATCCCCAGAATGAAGGTGAAGAGAAATCTGCCCTGGTCCCTCCAGTCCCTGAAATGAGTTCTGCTTTAAGCACATGGAGAACAAGTCCAATATGAAGCAGGCTGAAAGACCTGGGGGAAACAGAATTAATACTTTTTTTTTAAATGAAAGATTTTATTTACTTATTTTAGAAAGAAAGAGAGTGGGAGGGGTGGGGGGCAGATGGGGAGAGAAAAAGAATTTTAAGCAGACTACATGCTGAGCGCAGATCCCCATGAGGGGATCGATCTCATCACCCCAAGCTCATGACCTGAGCTGAAATCAAGAGTTATAGGTTTAACTGACTCAGCCACCTAGGTGCTCCAAATTAATACTTAATGTGTTTGGACATCCTGAGATAAACTAAACAATTAGCAAAGAGCTTGGGGTTGAGTTGGTGATAAGTACAAAAAACATGAAGCAAAAATGCAAGACAATTACAAATTCTAGGGAAAAACAAAGTTTTTTAGGAAAGTAAAAATATTCATAAGTTACTAGTAATGTAAATATGAAATACTGATCTAACTGAAATTATAATGAAAAGGTAGGGAGTGGGAAGGTGTGTACGGGTGGTAGAGAAAGTATGAAGGAAAGAATAAAAATCAGTAAATAGGCTAAATTGAAAGTTCAAAAACTAGCATAACATGCTATTTGGAGAACAAGGAGGTCAATGATGTAAATTACCTCCAACAGAACTACTAGTTGTCTCTGAGGAGGAAAAAAATGGTGGTGGTGGAATGAGTTTTTAAAAGTGTGACTTGGGGCACCTGGGTGGCTCAGTCGGTTGAGCCTCTGCCTTCCACTGGGGCCATGATCCCAGGGTCCTGAAAACAAGCCCCATGTCGAGCTCTCTGCTACGTGAGAGCCTTCTTCTCCCTCTCTCTGCAGCTCCCTCTGCTTGTTCTCCCCCCGCCCCATCCCGTCCCGTCTGTCAAATAAATAAAAATCTTTTAAAAATTCTAAAACTATTTGACTCTTTGAATTATGTGCATATTATCTATTATCAGTTATATAATAAGACCAGTCCCTGTTCTCAAGAAATTCACAGCTACAAGGCCTAACAGAAATAGGTTCAAATCATTATCAGAACTTAGAGTGTTGAAGTAGAAGGAATTAATTCTTCATAGTCATGTTTAAGTCGTATCTTGATTGCTGTGTGTGAGCCCCGGAACAAAGTTAAGGTGAGAAGAGGATTTACTTACTGACTACCGGGTGCACAGAGTCGATCATTCATCATCACTAAGCAAGCAAAGAAGTACACAAAGAGGAGTAAGCCACGGTCACAGAGCCCAGAAAGCTCAGAATCCAGAGGCGGAGAATGACACAAAGGTGATTATACTCCAAGTGGGGAGAGTGCAATCTACAATCAGTCTTGATTCCAGGAAAACAGGCGGCTGGGCTCTTTATCCATGGGAGTACTCACCTGCTCTTATGTAACCCAGGAGGCGGATGGATAAACAAAGCCAGATCAGGGTCCAGGCTCCATCCTCCATCCTCACACGCACCCCATTCCCGTCCTGACCAAAGTAGTGAGTGTCTTATCCAGGGATGATCCCCGGCCAAAACTGACCCCTTGACCCTTGTACGGTTGAAGTCAACTCACCGACTCCGCCGCCGCCTCCTGTTCGTCCACTGCCAGGGCCCACGAATCGGTGGCCATGGTCCCAGGCACTGGTGAGACAGACTCGCTGGCTGGGGCGGCGCGATCGTGGACTCTCCGGGGTCACAGCAAGCCCTGCTCCAGCCCCACCAAGGGAGAAGTCATTCGCGGAGCGGAAGTGGCGCGCCGCAGTGACGTTAGATTCTGCGCCCACCCAGCCGCCTCGCCCACTTCGAGCTGTTAACTTCCACAGCTCTCAGAGCCCCCAACCTAACCCTTGGTTAGCTCACGCTCTTTTCTAACGTTCATAAACGATGGCTGCCAACTGGCTCTCCACCGCACGAGCAAAACCACATTCCCACCCAGCACGCCGGCATAGAAGCTCATATAGATTGAATATGTCAAAACACAGAACCATTACAGGTAGAGTAGCTACCAAAAGCGTATTGGAACATCTTTTTCTCTCCAGGTTGGTAATTTTCAGTGCCCAAGGACTGGCAATCAGCCATGTCAAACACCATTTGGTTAAAAATTTGTCCCTTAGACTATGTGGCAATACCACTTACAGGAATTTCACCTTCAAAAATACTCAGGGTGCTAGGGAAATGCGTTCCAGATGAAGGATCGGAAACTAGAAAAAGCAAGGAGGTTTTTGAGTCTGAAGGACACAATTCCTGCGGGGATTGACAAGAGCCAGGGATGAAGAGATTGGTAGTAGGTAGAGGGAAAGAGCCATGCAAAGCCGCTTAATAAGCAAATGAGTTCATTCCAGGGAGCCCTTACCCATCTGTCATGACTTTTGGAGTTACCTGTGCCTGGTTGGAATCCCAGCGCTGGTTGCGTGGTTGGGAGAATTTTTTTTTAAAAGGAAAAAATATCTTGGGCTTTTAGAAGAGGTAAAATAAGGATTAAATGTGACACTCGCTTTCCCTTAACTGGAAATAAACAAGGTCCCCTCCCCTTGTTACTTAACTAGAAAGAAACTGGGTATTTTCCTGCAAGCTGAGAAAATAAATCCCCACTTCTGTTTGCCACTATTCTACTCCAGTGAATTAATTTCAAGCAGTAGTGGGCTCTATCTGGAATTTTACCTGTAGAGTGTAAGAATGTTCAGGAAAGGGTAAAACAGTTCCAAACGATACTCTATTTGCCATGATTCTTTTTCTCTTGTACCCGTGGGGGTTAATTTGGTGAAGATTTTTTGGAACCTATAGGGGAGGATATGCAAAAAGAAAAAGGCACACACACAGCCAGGGAAGCCACGACATACATCTCATCGTATTCAGAAGCAATCCTAGGAATATTTTGCCGGCAAAATTATATTGATCACAGGACTAATGGAGGTTAAGGATTTTTACGTTAAAAAAGAAATCATCCAAGGTGCAGGACTGTATACAATAGGATCCACTTGTGAAAAAGAAAACCCTCATGTGCTTGTAGATACTATAGAAAATGTAGGAGACACACAAATCTGTTAACAGTAGTTGCTTCTTGCGAGGGATCTAGGAATGTGGGGTGAGAGAAGACTTCCTTTTCGTTGTGTACACTTCATCCTCTGAAATTTAGTTTCCATGTGCATGTTTTCCTTTTAAAATCGTATTTCAGGGGTGCCTGGGTGGCTCATTCAGTTAAGCGTCTGCCTTCAGCTCAGGTCATGATCCCAGAGTCCTGGGAGCTCCCTGCTCAGCCAGGAGTCTGCTTCTCCCTCTGCTTCTTTCCCCACTCGTGCACTCTCTCTCTCTGTCTCAAATAAATAAAATCTTTAAAAAAATAAATTTGTATTTTAGACAAACAAGGAAGGGAATAATACAATGAACATCTAGGTTCCCACCTTGGGGCTTAAGAAAGAAAACAATTAAGACTTGATTGAAGCCCCCTGTATGACCATCCCTAAAGACAGCAGCTGTCCTGAATTTTGTGCTTATCCTTCTCATAAATGCTTTTTACCATGTGTTGCTTTCTCTATTTAAAAAACAAACAACCCAGGGGTGCCTGGGTGACTCAGTGGGTTAAGCCTCTGCCTTCCGCTCAGGTCATGATCCCAGGGTCCTGGGATTGAGCCTGCTTCCCTCTCTACCTACTTGTGATCTCTGTCAAATAAATAAATAAATAAAATCTAAAAAAAAAAAAAACAAACAAACCCAAATTTAATAAGCAACAGGATGCTAAGTTTTCCTGTCTCCATCTGCAGATACCAGCTCAACGTGAGACACCTGCTAAGCAGCAATATGCTTTCCAAAGCAGAGCGTGGAGAGAGGAATCAAAGTTACAAGAGCCACTGGATTAGAATGCAACCTCCTGCATTTACTCCCACATGACTTTGGCAGCCTCCACATTCTCTGAAGTTATGGGTAAGTACCCAGTGCACCATTCAATAATTCAGCAGTCACAAGCTTATGTGATATAGCGACTGGCTTCCGGCGAAGGCTTGATAAATATTAGCTATTATTATTACTCCCGACTCTCCCCTCCATGGGTGGGGGAGTAGGGTGGGGAAGATAGCTAACTGTGGAAAAAGGGTCTCAGAGATACTCACATCGCCCACGGGCAAGGCAAGCGGAAAGCACCCCAAGGCGCGGCCTCGAACACGGCCAGCGGCCCCAGCCATCGCTCCTCAGCATGGCGGTTACCTCCGCCAACGGCCGCTCACTGCCGCTGCCTCATTGGCTGAGGCCTGGGAGCCGGTCCGTTCAGCCAATCAGTGCAGGGGATGGCACAGCCTCGGTCACGCGTGCCCAGGTAGCTAGCGGCGAAAGGCTGAGCCTTGGCTCTAGCAAGGGGTCCTTTGTGTATTGAACTTTGTTATTTTTTGCTGAATATCCAGCTCCTTCGCTAGACTGAAAATTTCAGGAGGGCAGGGCAATTTGCATTCTTTAATGTTACCTTCAGGGACTAACACATAATAGACACCCACTTGGTGAATGACTAGTAGAGGAATACACATCCCCCAGATAGGTCAAACTTTTAAATCTTTGTCTCTGAACAAATAGGGGAAGAAGCTCATTCCTAGTTGAGGCCCTCGCTTCTCCAAGTGTGGTCCTCCTCCTCCAGCAGGTATCAGCAGGACCTGTGGAAGTCCATTAGAATGCAGAATCTCAGGCCTCACTCCTAGACCCACTAGATCAGGATCTGAATTTAAAGATACCAGGTGATTTCTTAACAACTTATGGTCTGAAAACTATTCAGTCACTCCCATTTGACCTTATAGCAAATAAATGAACGGTCTAAGTCCATTTTATGGGTGCTAAAAATATATTAGGTGCCATGGGAGAATTAGAACCTAGGACTACATATTTCCAAAACTAAGTATCTAAGTTGTGCTATCTTGAGCTCTATTAGCTTCCTCATTTCCCAAGAGGTTCAGCCAATGTTTTACTTCAGAGTAAGTCATGTGTATAGCACTTATTCTTACCTGCAAGCCTATTTTCTTAGCCCAGAATAAGAATTTTCCTATAATACACAATTTGCATTGCATTAAAATAGTTTTCCTGGGGCACCTGGGTGGCTCAGTGGGTTAAAGCCTCTGCCTTTAGCTCAGGTCATGATCCTGGGGTCCTGGAATTGAGCCCCACATCGGTCTCTCTGCTCAGCAGGGAGCCTGCTTCCTTTTTTTTCTCTCTCTCTGCCTGCCTCTCTGCCTACTTGTGATCTCTGTCAAATAAATAAACAAAATCTTAAAAAAATAGTTTTCTTTCTATTTTATAGTTGCATTACTTACAAGATAAACATATCATAGAGAACTGGATAATTCAAGTAGAATGCTTAGAAAAAGGTTACATTTGGGCCTCAACTATTTCTCTTCATGTGTATTGACACAGTCATTGGGTGAATGAAAAAAAATTTTGTAAATATGTCTCTAATTCTTTCACGAGTGAAGGTGCTATCCTAATAGCGACAACTTCAGCAACATAATAAAGGTATTGAGACTACAACCAATATCACTTTATTTTATTTTGAAAATATAACTTGTACAACTTTGGCTTTCCATTTTAATTGTGGTGGCACAAAAGTCTGACCCATTTCTCAGATTGCTTAGGCCAAATATGTTATTTTGGGCCAATGTGGATCAGAACAAACACTTGTCTTTCTTGGTTTTGTCCTTGTCTTAACCTCTGGGTGCCTCAGTTTCCTTAGCTGTTAAAAACAGGTAACATTAGTAACTCCATTATAACTCATTCATTGTTGTGCTCGAAAGCTTACATCAGTGCTGGCGCATACTGCATGTTCAACAAATGTTAGGTGGTATATGATTAATGAGTTGGGGTGAACTGGGAAGCTAGTTCAAGTGGTATATATATTTTTTTCTTTTAAATTGGCTTTTGAGCTTGGCCGTCCTTATGTATAGAATGCACTTTTATATACGAAAGTAACATATTTCCACAATGAACAGAACTGTACACCAAGAGCTGTGACCTTTAACAAACACACGTCGCCGGTTACCATTATTAACCGGGTCAACTATAAGGGCTTTGCAAACCAAAATGTCGACTTCCAGAAGCCCGCATACCCGGTCACGTGACTTATCCCTGCCCTTCTATTCCGGGCCATTGCATCAGCCGACATAGAGCCGCCTTTCTGGAACCAACTAGTAAGCTGATTCGTGCTCAGGTTGATTGGCATCTAGACTGACCAATAATACCTCGTAAAGATAAGGCTGGGCGGTGCAATTTCCAGCGGGGCGCTCTGACTGGGCAGGGTTGTGAAGGCTGCGGTCTGTCGTGGCTCGCGGCCGGTGCCGCTGCGCGTCTGCTGGACCAGGTAACCTCGGTCTCTGGGTGGGGGTTCCTTATGGAGGAGTTGGGGAAGGCGACCCTCGGGAGAAGTAGACGGGCCTCGGAGAGATTTGCGGTGTCGCTAGAGCTGCTAGGTCGTGGGCCTGAAAGCGCAACCGCCACAGCAGGTCCCTGGGGCCAGGCCCCACGAGGCCTCTGGAATCAGGGCCTGCGGTGGACTTGGGGCTACAGCGCAGCGCGGGAGCGACATCTTCAGACTCCTTGGGCGCTGCGGCCGGAGTGGCCTCGGATGGCCTTGCGGAGGACCAAGACCTTGGGAGGATCACGGTTGCCATTGACTACCTGCCCAAAGCTGAGGTTTTATCTCCTCGGGATGGGCGAGGAGGTTCTGTGTGTGTT